TTTTTTTTTTTTTTGTATGATTTTGTTTGCTTTTTTGGGGGTTGACCCTGCACAAACCCTGGCAAAATACAAAAGCTGGTAGTGTATGCTCATACAACTAACCAATACAAACATTGTGATTATGTAATTCATGCATAGTCAATGAGCATAACACAAAAGATGTGCCGGGTCAAGGACCTTCCAACGCAAATCTTAGCCTGGTTGTTTGTTTCTTTGATGTTTATTGGCCTTCCTAGCCATTTCCCTTTATTAACTATGGTTATCTTTGATAAATTGATATCTTTTCATTACATCATTTGTTGTAATGGTAATTTAAAGCTGTTTAATACTGTAGGTAGTGAGTTTTGGTTCTAGCAAACATAAAATGGCAAATGTCAGGTATTCACTTGCGGCTGTAACACGGGGTACATGTACGATACACGAAGAAAGGTTTTACTCACTGCATGTCGCAGTTCAGTTAAAAAGAATACTATTATAGACGAACAGGAAATACTGACTTATTTCTCCTTTCATATCCAGGGATGTGGCAAGCTTGTCTTTATGGAAAGAGACTCTTTACGGAGACTGTACGAGTTTGATGTGATAGAATCAGTAAGTCGAATTTTTCATGTGCCTGTTTTGTGACTGTTTCTGTGCCTTTTGGGGCTTCCCGTTGGAACCATCGCTAAACGCTAAAGTACACTCTGATGCANTTTTTTTTTTTTTTTTTTTTTGCTGGAACATTCGTAGAACACTTCATTTGCGTGCATTGCACTCATTCGTGTTCGACATCTAGTCCCTTAGAATTAGTGAAAAACCAGAAATTAGAAGAAGGATTAACGAAGTAATAGAATGAGAAAACGAGAACGCTTGAAAAACGAAGCAGCGTCCGAATTTTAGCAAAGTGGCCTAGCTGTTAGCACGTTGGACTCCGGATCGAGTGGTAGGTTCGAGCCTTAGAGGAGGTCAATGCATTGTTTTCCTGGGCAAGACACTGTACTCTCATTGCCAAAGTATTTCCACCTACGAGTGTAAATAAGTTTCAGCGAACTCTAGTATTTATGTAAAACCTGACAAAATGGTGGGGGTGACCCCACGATGGGTTACCATCCCACGTGGTAGAGGCGTAGTAGCCATGCCCTTATTTATGTGACCCACTTGTTAGTAAAACTGAAATTACTACTGAACATATATGTAATAGCGCTATATGCTTGCTTATTCAGAGTGTCGTTAGCTGCTTATGGCACCCAAAATTGAACCAGATTGTGGTCGGATGTGGAAATGGAACCTCTAAAGTTTATTTCGACCCTGAGAAAAGCAACAAGTGAGTATTCCGCTGCAAGTGTCGCTGCAAGTCTTTCTCTAAGCTCGATCACCAGCCGCTGCTCGAGAATGGAGCCCGCCCTCCTCCCCCGAACTCACGGCGAGGAACGAAGAGCGGACTCAAGCGAGCGGCGGAAATCAAGCCTAGTCTTTTTCCAAGCCACGTGTATCACATATAATCATGGGTGAAAGTTGTCAACTTATGCACTGTGCTTTTCTGTTTTTTTGATCTTTTTTTTTTCGTTGATATTTTTTAACATTGTTGGTTTTTCTTTCCTTTGTGAAGGGGAGCTAAACTCTGTGTTGGAAAAGTTAAAGGAAAGGTGGCATCAAAGGAGATGCCCTTGAAGGATCAAATCATTACACGTAAGTTTGTCTTGAATAAAATCATTTTTGTTTTTGGATGATGAATTGTAAATTGCCCTTTTAGATAGCTAAATGACAGAAATCCAACATTTTTCTATACTTAAACTCGTGAAACCCGTACCCTTTTATATTCCTCTAACCTGAATAAGGACCCTTTTAGAGTGAAGCCTCTCTGTATAGTCCAATGTAGGAGGTAATACCTAGTTTCAGAAGTGGAGAAGACCCTGGGGACGAGGTTGGCATGAACAGTGGAAACGGAGCCCTTGGCCAGCGTCATTCACAACTTGTGTGCATGCGCAAATTTTCTCATGACGTATCAGTGTTTACAATTGTTTTAGTATGGCCACGCAGCTTCCTTCATGCGTTTTCAGTAGAAAAACGCGTTATAGCCTGCGTAGCTGGCGGTATTGTGGGCACGCGAAATAAAGTTTTGTCGGCGGAGCCGCAAAAAAGCGAGCGGCGAAGCCGCGAGGTCAATGGGGAGGAGGACTTTGAAATACCGCCTGCACGAAAACCATTGGTTTTTGAATAGTCCGGAGACCAGTGTGCGGGAAAAACGGATTGGTCGAGAGAAGTACACACGTCAATCAAATGTTAGGTGATCCTTCATATATTTCTCCTGGAAATGCTTCATGATCATCATAAATAATGGAGGATAGTCATGTTCGCAACAGTGTTCCAGTTTTTTTACGACAGGCGTTTAGAATGATCGACTTCGTTTCGTCGTCGAAAGAACAGTGCGAATCAATACGGCCAGTCGGATCTGCGATCAACAGTGGTCTGTTTACCACACAAATTTTCTACATTCAACTCTGCAGAGAAGGGTGGAACGCGAGGTGTGATTGTTTCCTGGTTGACATCCAAAGGCATGTTTTCTTTGTTCGTTGCATTTGAAGGAGTCGATTCTGAGAAATTTAATGATTTCTTAGTGGTCGAACGGTCCTTGTATAAATTCTTTTTTGCTTGAGGACTCCTGTCCGGCGAAGACACAGACGACGGAAGAAGACGTTTAATCCTTACTTGCGTATCTTGATGCGAAGAGAGCGGAACTTCCACATTTCTTTCTATGTCGGAGCGAATGAACCGGACAAGTTCAACGGCGTTGAATATTTTCCTACCACAAGACTGACAAACTCGACTCAATAGAGCACTAGATTCCACAATGTTCGCGCCAATTTCCGAGCAAAGTTCTGCTAATGTCTTGCCTTCACGCTTTGCGTGACCTGAAGATTTAAATAAATTTTCCGTGGAAATGTATTTGGTACTTTTCTTAAAGTTACCGAATTTCATCTTCAGATTGACACCACACAATCTACATAAGTCGTTAGTGCTTTCCTCTTGGCTTTTTCTATCTCCCTTCGATTCGCCATGCATGCATCAACCAGAAGTGTAAGACGATCGCCTTCACGCCTCTATTTCGCGCGAAAATAGTCGGTTCTAATTGGTTGGTTCAATTAATTGGGGTCAGTTGAGGTCAACGAGGTGATAACAGTGAGCGGCATTCAAAAAACCCAAGTTCTCTGGCAAACGATATTTCTCGCGGCTTCGCCGCCAAAACTGTATTTTGGTCTACGCCAAAACTTTATTCCGCGCGCCTACAATATTGCCAGCTACGCAGGCTAAACGCGCTATTGAAAACTAATTTCTTACAGCATCAATAGCTCTCATTGAATGTTATTTGATGATCGTAGATGTTCTGACTGGAGCCTTGGACGCGGGAAATAAAACGAAAGCACAGATGTATGCACATCAAACGAGCTCTCACGAAGCATGCGAACATCCTGCTCCTGGGGAGGGGCGGGATATATATGGGCTATATGGGTATGTGCGGCCCCAAAGGGTATGGCTTTTTAGCCGCTATAAACTTGGTCTGAAATAGAGTATCGAGTTTGGCCATTTTGTCTCAAATAGGGTCTGGTTTTCGCACTTTAAGTAGTATAGGGGGAGTCACACAAATACAATTTCGCAAAGGGAGAAGTATTTCCTCATTTTGCAACTCCCAGCTTTAAGTCCGAAGCTCGCAAGCTCGCTTCGGTTAAACCGGGGAGTTGCAAAACGGGAAATACTTCTCCCTCTTTGAAATAGTATTTGTGTGACTCCCCCTATACTACTGAGGGGGAGAGACACCTATTAGAAACAAGCGAGCCCGCTGTTATACCGCCCGAGCCGCGATGTCTCGAGCGACAAACAAGTGCGCGTGGCTGATGCGGAGCCGGAAAGAAAGCTGCCAACTTTCCGTGGCCATTCAAAGCCTCCCTCCAGAGCTTCGTGAGATGATTCTNAAGCCTTTTTTTCCTGTTTTGAGCCTCCCAAGCTTAACTCCCTCACAAGCATCGGGAGTTAAGCTTGGGGGGTTCAAAACAGGAAAAAAAGGCTTATGCTACAAAATAGTATTTGCCTAATCCCCTATATACTACTTAAAACAACAGAGAGGGAGAGCCAGCTATTGGAAACAAGCGAGCCCGCTGTTATACCGCCCGAGCCGCGATGCCTCGAGCGACAAACATGTGTGCGTGGCTGATGCGGGGCCGGAAAGAAAGCTGCCAACTTTCCGTGGCCATTCAAAGCCTCCCTCCAGAGCTTCGTGAGATGATTCTCAAGGAGTACATCGCGATAAAAATTAAGGAAAAAAAGGAAATGGGGTGGTACAAGGTACACGAGAAAATTTTAAAACTGCCATTCTGTGAACTCAAGCAGCAAATTGTGCGAATGATAACTTGCGTTGAATATCCGGACTGTTATTTGGAGAGTTGTTGTTTCCCCTGTTTCGAAAGGGAGGGAACTATTCATAAACCCTCAGTGAGGCCGCCGAAGGAGCCAAAACTTCTCATGGAAGAAGACCCCGATTACAAGAATTTTTTGGAAATATGCTCTTGGAATGGTTACAATTGGCATGAGTGGTTCCTTTTTTGCAGGGCGAATTAGCGGAAAACATCATCAGCATCCGCCTCAACCATAGCGGCGACGACCTCGCGCGCAACATCACGAGCCTCTTTTTGCCACTTAGGTGTGAAATATTCATCCACAAGAAACGCAACCAAGTGGAAGCAGACGAGCATGTTTTATAATATGCGAACGGACCGTCTGTTTCTAAAAGTCGGCTCGAATGGGTGGTTCTGTTTGGCTTCAAGTCTGCCGCGGTTGTCTTTCTCCCGCTGTGCAACGCAATCATCTGTTTTTAACAAGACTAAGAGATAGTTTTGTGTTTTTTCGCTCAAAATTTAGTTCAAATTTGTGCTTCAATCTGCAAGTTTTTTTCTGTATTCCTCCCGAACCTGGACCCGAGCCTGGTTTCTTATTTCTTCGATATCTGGCTGGATTGGACTTGTCTGTATTCGCGCGAAGTTCGCTCTAAAGCCTCTTTAAGCTGGCGATATTTATGCATTTCACGTGTGATCAGTTGAAACTCCGTGTCAGAAACGCGATTATCATTAAGAGCCTGTGAGACGGCGAGGTTTATCGAGTCATGTTTCCCGATAGCCAGAGAATGGATTCTCGTGTGCTTATTTACTTTGCGTTCAAGCTTCTTGTTGACAACGGACAGGCCAGTGGAAACTGCGCCAGATAAAGCGGCTATCCCGGTAACAGGCGCGCCAATAACAATTCCAACACCAGTGAGTGATGTTGCGACAGCCCCGGAAGACAGAGCTGCCGTGGCTGCGCCAAGGCCAACCAGGGAATAGTGAAGCGCTTTCCGGGCCTTTTTATATTTTTTCAGCACGAGCCTGTAATGATCGACCTCAGCAGATATTTCCTTTTCAATTCTACTTATCTCGGTTAGCCGGAAATTCTCGGCATTCATCGTTTCGGGAAGGCTTGGATAGATTCTTCTTTCATTCTCGGCAGGCGGCGCGCTTGGTGTTAACAGATTTGCTGAAGACATTGTGTATATAAAGAAATTTAATTTAACTCCAATTCGAAAAGAAGAGGCAACCCATTGAAATCAAAGAGTTCGCCATTTTCATCTTTGACGCTAATAGTGATGCTGT